AGCCCATAATCTTATCCCCAAAGCCCGGATTCTTAGCAGGAGGCGGCAGACAGTCCGGCGCGGTCGCCCTTTGCCAAAGTGCGATGCCAAGCTTGTCTCTCCCGACACTCTGGGAGGGAGGTAGGCTAATCCAACGGAGCTTTCGAACCTCCAATGCTGGATGCGAGCTCACCCAACCTCCATTATTGTCTGTGGGTTTTGGGACCAGGGATTTCCATTGAGGAGAGCCAGCCGCCGACGTAATTGACCAGAGACTTTCTCCAGTTGTATTGCATCTAGCCCACAGTCTTGGCAGGCCCAACCTCTATTGCTGCAACCACCTCTCTCGTCTGGCCATCGAATCGATGGCTAAAGCCATTGAGGTTGGAGGAGCTTCAATCTACCCATGAAAGGCTCCCCACTTGCCAATAAATGGCTCTGCGAGAATTATTAGGTTCGTTAGACGCTTACCGGGAATCCGGAAGTGCTCGCTTCCCTCTATTCGGATCTCGCCCGGATGGTGTCTCTATCGAAGTGGGTTTCTCTGGTACACGATCTAACCTCAAAAGCAACCCAGTATGTATCAAAGCTGGCACATAACTTGTAGCAGGGCCGACAGGAAAGATCCAGTGGGTAGAGATTCGGGCGTACTCGCGGAGTGTGGATGAACCCAATTGCGAAGAAGCTCGCGAGTTATACATGCCCTCAGCCTCTATTGGCCCGATCATAAATCTAAATCTCCGCGGGCAGAGCAAAGCAAACACTTGCTCTATTCAGTGCGTTCCTCCCCCCAGGCGTCTCCCTACGTTCTTGGAATAGTGCCTCGCAAGCTCATAGAAGAACAGTTAGCACGTAGATTGGCGAGTTCCGGCCAGATGGGGAACAGCATTCCTTTCCTCAACTTCCCGGGGGACTTGCGAGGTGCGCTATGCCTACTCATGTACGATCGCCAACTGGGACGAGACGGCGCACCGGGTCTAGTGCAGACCTAGAATGGCTCATAGGGCGCCTCAGGATGTTTGTTGGGGCCCGCCGTAGCGCGCAAATCTCTCCCCAAGGCATGTCATCGCCATAGCCCATGATCCCTTCCGACTGAGCATTTCCCTGAATCTGGTGGGATTATCAATGGAACTAGCCACTTCTTCGGACGTCGCTGCATCAGCACGGAGAGGTCTCCGGGGAGGGGCGCCTTGGAGCCTTGGGGTGGCTTCCCAGGGACAGGGCATGACAGAGTGTTAGATTGCTCTCGTTTCTTCTTCTCAGGAGGTTTGCTTCCCACAACCCCTGCCTCCGTGGACATGAGCTGGAGGTCATTTTTGGTGTCATTTTCTTTTCTTCTTTTCGTCTGACCGTGACATCCCTCCCATTAATGAGCTAATCAAACAATCAATGCAATTGAGCGGTCGGGAACGGCTCAGACAGACTGCACCGCCCGTCCCTCTCTACCGCTGAGGTGAGGTCAAAGTGGTGATGAGTGCAAGACGCACTCGGTGGCAAGACCACAGCACAGCCAGAAGTCGGCCAGACAGACAGACAGACAGACAGACAGAGTGTCCCGGAGTACCTGGTACTTGGTACCCAACACCCACCCAGGCCCCCACCCAGATTAACGAATCTCTCGTCCTGGGTGCAACCGTGCAAGTGCACTGCACGCGGACAAAGAGGCTTTTGACTTTTTTTTCTCTCTGGTCCCACACCCTCCGCTAGTCCGTCCTGGAGCTAGTGGTCTCTACTAGTCTGTAGCCTCTAGCCTCCCAGCAATGCCACCGCACCCAAGCGCAGTGTGATTGTTGGCTGTGGGCCACGACCGACTTCGGTTGCCTTTGCCTTGCCTGCATCATTCTCCTCCTCGTCGACCTCCTCCAGCCCGCATGCTTCTGGATCTCGTTACCGTGTGCCCCCTCATCTTGGGTATGTGTGTGTGTGTGTGGCTGCTTTCACGGCTTCATATTGGCAGGCAGACACATCCACTTCGCATCCAATATGGCCCCTCCAGAAGCCAGACAGTCCGTGCATCCGCACGCCCCCCCTCATCCAGTACACTGATCTCTCTCCCCCTTCTCTCCAGTCACCTCCTCTCCCTCTCGCTTTCATCATCTCATTTTCCCTTTGCCAATCCAACTTCTCCACCGATGATTTTCGGATTTGGATTCAGGTGGATCGGAGAGCATCATCATCGTGATTTTCCCTGATTTTTCCTGATTTTTCCTTTCTGCCGACCGCATCCCCATCTCTTTCCCCCCTTATCCGTGCCCATGGCAGAATCAATCTCATAGGGAAATTGAAGTTGATACTGGCAGGAAATCTAGATCTCGCCTAGTCTAGTCGACCCCGACCGACATGGCCTACGCCTAGCATCTACATGTACCCCTTGAACTAGCAAGCGAAACCAGTCCTGTCCTGTGCTGGTGGAAAAGTCCGTGGCATGCTGGCTCTTACTGTAATAAGTGGCCAGGCTAGGTAAGTCGAGCCGCAGCCCTGTGCTTTCGCTCCGGCTTCCAGCTACCCGAGACCTTACCTAGCGAGAGCCTAGCATCAATGTCTGGCTCATGGCTCCCCCAACGCAGCACCAGGGTGGTGGTGGCCATGGCCGCTGGATAGGGTAGGACATTTGATTGCGTCTGCGTTTTGCGCGCGCTCTCTTCGCTGCCGCAATGTACCCAGGGTAGGCCACCCCAAACTGTCCATCCATCTCACACCTTGGTTCTAGACAGGCGGGAGAGGGTGTCCTGCCCCCAACCTCCAATCACCCAGCAGCTTGGGTCAGCCATCCAGCTATCGGAATACCTTGCCTCGTTGGGACTCCATCTGCTGATCACATCACTGCCATGGCCCCCAGCGAGGGGGGGAGGAAGGGAAACCTGCCCTCCGTGTATCAAACGAAAATCCCCCCCCGCCAACATGAATCTGCATGCAACTCCCTCCCCCTACCACTTGTATGCAACTACCGCGGTGCTAGGTGATCCTGTTCCTGCACCCAGGCGCAACTCGCTCGGTAGTTCAAGATTGCGCTAGAGAAAACCGCCCAAGTCCCTACTTTGCAAACTAGTAAATTAGACGAACCCTTGCTGTGCCATCCGGACCTGACTCCAGCGCACCACCAAAAACCCGGGCTCTCTCTTGCTAAGCAGAACCGCGCTTGTGGGTTCACTCAAGGAGGGGGGAGGGGGCCGGTCCCTACGCTTAATGCTAGGAGTTCATGCGCGCCCGTTTTAAAGGTGACACTTTGACACCGCGCCAAAGGAGCGACCGCGTCGCAAAAGCACGTTTTTCTCTGGCCAAAACCACCCTTGGGCTACTCAACCCGTTTTACGCTTCCCTCCCCAAAGCCCTCAAGGCTGAGTCCTGGCCCCCCCCAAGCCTCCTCCCCCGTCCGTAGCCTAAGAGCCGGTCTTGCCCAACGCCCGTCCTGCCTAGCCCTACCGCCTAGCCAGAGACGCCCGTGCTCAGTAGGCTGGAACCTCAAGGAAGCTACGGTCCGGGGTTAGAACGCGCTATTTGCAAATGTCGTGATCATTACTCGCATTTCATTTTTTTTTTATTTGGTCCTTTCCATTTTCTCTCGGATCAATCTGCCGATGACTTGGGTGAATACCCCTAATTAGATGGGGGAGAGGGTAGGGGAGGGGGGCGAAAAGCCCAGGATGGTCCAGACCGAAGGGGAAGTGACAGGTTCGGATATCGTCAAATACTACTGATGATGAATCTCCTCGTATCGCGAAACATGACATGAATCATTCGCAGTGGATGAACGTCGGCTACTTCACGGTGTGGTCTCTCCCCCCCCTTCCCACACCCTCCTCGGCCGTGGCTGTTGAGTTGCTTCCACGTACCTTGCGTCATGATCCCATGATTCAACTGGTGGGTAAGAAAAAAAAAAAGGAGGAGGAGAGAGAGAGAGAGTGTGTGTGGGTGTGAACTTGATGTGTTGTGTGTGTGGTTCACCGGCCAAGTAACTGTGTGAAAAGTCCCGAGACATGTTTTGGAAGCGCGGTCCAGAGTCATGCCCAATGATGTGACGAGGTGAGACCTGCAGAACCCTCGTTCCCCAGTCCAGTCGAGAGCTTCAAGTGATAAGGCGCACCGACTCATGCTCGCTCTGGCGGGTGTGTCACAACCCGGTCTAGTTTCAGACCTACTGGTCCTGAGCACATGTCGCATCGAGCTTGCTTGGCAATCGCATAATTGTGACAAGGATACAGGACATGGAAGAAGTCATGGACCTAGTAAACTCCGACTGACAAGAGCAACCACAACAATTAGAAAACAATCAATGCTTAAAGATTGTTCCTTGCTGGGTTCATTGTTCTTGATATCATGTTACGACTCAGCGCTGGTAGTCTTGGTGTGCCACGTTTTGCTCATCCACTAGCTGGCTTAGCAACCACACCGGAGCTCCGAGGATCCAGAACATGCAATGAGTTACCAAGTAAAGTGTGAGTGGGAACTTCGGGATTTCATAGGCAGCTCAGTATATTTTTGTTTCTATCAGTGCTAGTTACATAGGTAGTGAGCTGGCTGCCGGGTAAGATGTGAGTATTCTTCGGTCGACCGTTCATGAATCAGAAGGTGCCAAGCGACTGGGGCCACTGAGACTGTCGTGGATTCGAAGACCTCAGCCCAGCACTGACCTCCATCACCGTTTTGATATCTCCCTAAGCCGAGAGAAAGCCAAGAAGAGATGCAAACAAACTCAAACATGTGAGTTAATACAGGAAGCAAAGCCTCCCAAGGACTGAAATATCCCCTATGGCAGTCTATTTAGTGAAACGATAAAGAAATCATTAGAACAAAGAAAAAAAGTCAATGAATATAAAAATGACGAGAGTGGGCAAAGAGCACACTCTTGATAAACCCCCCCAAAAAATCACTAGCCCTCTATATAACGCCGAAGGGTACCATAAGTCTTGAGACAGCCAAGGAACCCGCAACAGCCAGTCGTCTAAATGTGCTGTTGGCGACCTTGGATTGCGAAAGGTCGAAAAGGCTGCGGTTGTCTTGTCGCAGCAGGTTTCGCCAGTTTACCATCTGCGGTTGCCGAGGGGCATGTTGTTGGCGTTGGCTGAAGACCGGTCAGCTCGCGGGTGAGGTTTGACAGTATCAACGTCGGCGGAACCCACCTCTACCACCGCCCCGTCCACGTCCGTAGCCACCGTATCCGCGACCACCACCGCCGCCATAACGGGCCATCTCAGCAAGACGGGGATCAATGTTCTGCTTGGCCTCCTGGAGGACATTTACGAGATCACGAGCCTGCTTCTGGTCTGCAAAGATTGTTAGCTTGTCCAATAGCATGACGGGTCTTGCAACGTTGGTAAACTTACTGTCAGTGGTGAAGAAGGTGATGGCCGTGCCCTTGGCGCCGGCACGTCCAGTACGACCAATACGGTGGATGTAATCCTCCGAGTTGTTAGGGTAGTCGTAGTTCAACACGTGAGTGATGTTGCGAACATCTTGAGTACATGGTTAGCAGGCGAAGATGGGGTTTGTATAGCAACGTTCCAGCGTGGGAGCAGGAGATCAGAGCAGCTGAGATTATACTGCCGTCACACATTCACTCCATAGCAGACTGGGGCAATCCAAGTGCGAAAAATGCCATCCTAGGATAGGCGATATCAACAGTGTCCTCGGGCTGAGGGATCCTTGGGGGACAGCTCTGATCGGATCAAGAGATGTCACCTCCACGCTCGTACCAGGAGGGTAGTTCAGGTACAAGAATGGAAATACGAGTATAGCAGGTCACCAAGCTACACAGCGGATCAAGGCCCCAAAATTGGAGAACCAAGTGGACACGAATATATCAGGCAAGTTCGCGCAGTCAAGAGAGCCCCTAGATACGAGAGTAAAGTACAGCACATATTCGCTGGAAGTTGCCATGGGTGGGGGTATTTGGGGGAGGGTTGGGGGGAGGGCTTCGTATACTCACCAATACCACGTGAAGCAACATCAGTGGCAACCATGATCGGGCTCTTGTTGGTCTTGAACTGGTCCAGGACCCAGTCACGCTCGTTCTGCTGCTTGTCTCCGTGAATAGCTATAGTTACGCTGTTAGCACATCTGATACAATATCGTTGAAGGATAGTCGTCACTTACAAAGAGCAGGCCATCCGTCCTGGCGAAGGAATCGGGTAATCTCGTCGGCAATTCGCTTGGTGCCGACGAAGATGAGAATCTTGTTCTCCTTGTCATCCATGACCTTCTCCAGATGCTTGATCATGCGGTCGCGCTTCTCCATGTCGCTGACAACTTCAACAACCTGGGTGATTCTGTGGTTGGCAGCGAGGTCCATGGAACCAATGTTGACCTGAATGAAATCAGAGAGGAAATCGGATGCCAGAGCACGGACTTCCTTGGGCCAGGTAGCAGACCACATCAGAGTCTGACGATCGGGGCGGATCTGACCAATAATCTTGCGGATCTGGGGTTCGAAACCCATGTCCAGCATACGATCAGCCTCGTCGAGAACAAGATAGGTAACTCTGCGGAGGTTTGTCTTGCCGGCTTCAAGCATATCAATCAGACGTCCGGGGGTGGCAATGCACACCTCAACACCGCGAGAAAGATCACGGATTTGAGGACCCTTGGGAACACCTCCGTAGACGCAGGTGTTACGAATGCGGGAGGATCGACCAAACTTGGTGATCTCCTGCTGGATCTGAACAGCCAGTTCACGAGTGGGGGCAAGGACCAGGACAATAGGTCCGTCTCCGGGTGCCAAGAGGGGCTGGGCGTTGATGTGAACAATGGCGGGAAGGCAGTAAGTAAGTGTCTTTCCGGAACCAGTCTCAGCAATACCGACCACGTCGCGTCCGGAAAGAGCCATGGGCCAACCCTGTGACTGAATGGCGGTAGGAGCAGGGAAACCCTGAGCCTTGACCTCGTCCATCACGTAGCGAGGGAATCCAGCCTCATCGAAGGTCTCGACGGGTTTGGGGACATCAGAGCCAGCAATGGTCATCTGGTGTTTGCGGCGGAAAGCCTCCACCTCAGCATCAGAGCGGTTGGCAACTTCTGTGTTCTCCTTGTAGAAGGACTTCTCGAACTTGGGGAGGGTGGTGAGGTCTGCATCGTACGTTAGTTGATGTGATGGGGATGACAACAGAGTTCAGAGAAGAGCCGGCAAAACTTACCCCATTCTTGCGTTTGCAGACCGGCACCGAGGTTGCTCATTCGGTCGCCGCCAGCACCACCACCGTATCCTCCACCGAAACCACCACCGCCGCCGCCGCCGCCGTAGCCATTTCCGTTGCTGTAGCCATTGCTTCGGCTGTCAGAAAGTTAGCAATGCATTAGATTAAGTGTGTTTTGATGCTTATCGTGGATGTGTGGAATCAATGAATCGGACCCCACGCTGATAGGGTTCGTTGACGACACATCGCGACAAGCATGCAGAGAATGAGCTTACCCTCCGCCATAGCCACCACCACCACCGCCGCCATATCCATTGCGGTCGCCGCGATCTCCTCGATCACGGCCGTAGCCACCTCCTCCGTAGCCACCGCGGCCACCACCGCCGCCGCCGCCGTTGCTGTAACCACCGCCTCCGTAGCCACCGCCGCGGCTACCTTCGTTATAGCCACCAGACATGATCGCGGATAATTGGGAGCGAGACGCGAGAATGCAGGGTAATGTGTTCCTGAGCGCGTCTTGTTTCAAGTATCTGCGAAATGGAATCCCTCTGACGATGATATGAATGAGCGCAGTCGAGAGGGTCGATGGGTGGGATTAGTGAGGAAGGAAAGAAAAACAGAAAAGATTTGTTTGTATTAGGGATAAGGCAGCCTAAAGGACCAGATACTTTTTTTTTTTAGTCTTACCTTCCCAGGCTTTTTTGCCGCTAGAAAAATTTCAAGAGCGCCGCACTAACCCGATATGGTAGGTACGTACCTCTCAAAGAATGCTGATTATCTAATCTCTCGCTTCTCACCGCCTTCGCTACCCTATACCTTGCCGGGAGTGTGTACGTCGACGAGCGATGTCCCGAGAATCATTTGGGAAAGTTAAGGCATGCGCCGAAATAATAAGTAATGGTGACGTATCTATTGGACGCCGAATTGGACGAAGTCATGTCATGCGACTGAGCCTCTACGCGTTCTGGCTGCAACATGTGACTCCTTATCGGGGAAATGGCTAGGCAGAATTTCTCCCAAGGCAAAGAACGTAATAATAGGACATACGAATCAGAGTGTATTGAGATTGAAAGTCACCACACGCAGGTCGAACAATTATAGTCACATAGTTTAATTCATACAGGGCAGTATAGTAGCCACCTCTAGATGCAAGGAGATACACGCACAACGAAGAAAGCCAATCTAAAAGCAATCTAAAATCACATCCAGCTCCCAACTGGCCGATTAACACCCGACCTCTAAATACCCAGAGCCATGACCAAATGAAAAACGACCCCAGAACTTTAGAGTACACACAGCCAACAGCTTTTCTCTCCACTGCCAGAACAAGGCAGCCTTAAATGATATCACGACGCCCTAAATTACTCTCGAGAAACATCGCGGCCGAACGCCTTGGACTTGAGCCAGTCAACGATAACCAGGACACGGTTGCGGGCTGAGTTGAAAAGTTAGCACAATGTACATTGAAACTCTAATTAGAGAATGTTAGAATAAGACTTACTGCTGAAGCACATGGAAAGGTAGGCACTTCGCCAGAAGAGGAAAGTCAGGCTACCGCCGCTGGCGATATTTCCGTTCCACCAGGTCACGTCGGCGACGGCCTTCTCGCTACCGATATATGCCATGCTTCCCTGGTGACTGTACCTGAAGGGCTTCACATCGCGAATCTTCTTGAGCTGGCGCTCCAGGGACTCAATCTCCTGAGCGGTCTCGGCAGCGTTGCCGGGCTGGACGTTCAGGCTGGTGCTGAGCTCGGTGATGCGGGCCTCGTGAGACTCAGTCTTAGCCATGTTGTTGAACAGACGGGCGAGAAAGGTACCCTCCTGGGAGGCGACCTGGGCAGTAGGGGCATATCCGGCAACAGCGCAGTCACCAACGGCCCAGATGTCGCGAGCGCCCTGCACAACCAGGTATTCGTTCACGGCGAGACCACGGCGAGAGTTGGCCTGGGCGGGGATGCGGGAGATGAGGTCCTTGATAATGGGGCGGATGGTGTTACCGGTGGCCCAGACGAGAAGACCGTAGGGGATCGTCAGGCGCTCCTTAGTGCCGTCAGGTCGGCTGACCTCGGCCTCAACAGTGTTCTCGGTGACCCTCTTGACCATAGTCTTGAGCTTGATGTCGATCTTCTCCTCACGGAGAGTGTTCTCGGTGTACTCAATGAGCTGCTTGGAGAAAGAAGGAAGGACGTTGGGAAGGGCCTCGATTAAGGTGACCTTGAAGCGAGGGCTGATCTCGGGGATCAACTTCTTGATATCCTCCTCGAAGAAATCCTGGAGCTCGCCGGCGAACTCGACACCAGTAGGACCACCACCGACAACGACCATGTGCATCAGGCGGTCAATATCCTCCTGGGACTGATCCTTGAAAGCGGCGGTCTCGACGCAGTCCATGATCTTCTTGCGAATACGCTGGGCATCGTCAATCTCCTTCAGGAAGCAGCTGTTCTCTCTCACACCGGGAATACCGAAGGTAGAGTTCTCCGCACCAACGCCCACAACGAGCATGTCGTAGTGGATCTCGTTCTCTGCAATAGAGCCCTTGACTTCGGAATTGTCGGAGACCTTGACGACCTTGCGCTCAGGGTCGATGGTTGTGGCCTCTGCCTCATAGTATTGAACAGAGCCCTTCTTGTGGCGGAGGATGGCGCGGATAGGCTCCATGATGGAGCGATGCTCGATCAAACCAGTGGTACATGAGGGCAGCAGAGGAGTAAAGAGGAAGAAGTTTCGTGGTGATACGACGATGACATTGTAGTTCTCGGTGTCGAGGTTCTTGAGAAGAGCAACGGAGCCCCAGCCAGTACCTAGAATTGTGCGCCTGTCAGCCTCTGTCCACTAGAAAGTTGACTCATTCAATTCATTGATGTACTTACCCAAGACGACAAGAGTCTTCTTGCTGGGGTCGGGTTTGACCTGATCCTGGGGATGACGATCCTCGTAGATAGTCCAGGCTGTGTAGCCCAAAAGACCACCAAAGGTCAGATATGTGAGTCGCCATGTCCAACGAAGGGTTCGTCGGATCTTGCCAGGCTTGGGCTTGGGCTTGGGAGCCTCGCTGGCGTACGCTCTGCGGAAGGCGATACGGCCAGTGGTGGCCAGCTTCATCGACACCGAGGGCTTCGTGAGTGACCGGGGAGTAGCCCTTGAAGCTGTCGATAGAGCCCGGGAGGCAATTGTGCGACTGGCCATTTGGCCAGAAGCTCTGGAGAGGATGGGCATCATGGTGGATGTCCTGGCGGCAGCGACCATTGCGCTAAAGCTCAATTGAGGAGCAACAGCAAACGGGGAGGCAATGCACGAGGCCAAGATACACAGAGGTCAAACGGGTGAGCCTTGTGGTCACGGATTAACCTTTGGATGAAGAAGGTTGGTGCTGTTGGAAGTCGGGGCGCAAACGGTAATGTTGAAGCTGGGGAGCTCGGGGTTGGTGCTGCCTATTACCTACCTAGCTGACTGGCTTTTTTTTTTAACCCTCCACTCCGTAATCGCGAGTGGAATTCCGTCTGGGACCTCAATATCAGTGCTTCAGTGGCTCCCCGGCCGGTACGTACATTCTCCCCTATTAAGTGTGGTCTTGGTCTTTTCCCGGTCTCCTAAAATTTATAGCGCATTCCTCCACTGTGAGCGGCAGCTGTTTTAGCGGGTCTCTGGGGACCTTCAGGGCTGGGTGGACGGTAAATCTCTCGCTATGGGACCTCGTCTCGAGCGCCTCGGCAGAATTTGACTGAATGTAACCTCTGTGTTTGAGAGCGGCAGCACACATCAGGTATTACTGGACGGCACCTACACTTCACCTGTGATCGCTGCTTCTACACACCGCCAGCCCTTCCTTCACAAGCATCAACTCCAGCCATCTCACTCAGCCGGATTGGAGGCCGGGAGAACCCGGCGCCCCAGCCGGTGACCCGGAACACATGCTAACTCCCAAGTCTCAGAGCTGCGCAACTCAAAACCCGTTTGTCCGGAACATTTCGCAGGAGCAAGCACTTGTGATGTAGGATATCATTCCCTGGGGCACAGGCAGGGAGCTACGAGGCGCTAGTGCGGCCGATAGAACTAGAGGTAAACCGCAGAGTGGGCATGGGCAGAGCCCTGATGGTAAAGACAGCCAAATCCCCCCGATACTTCCCCGTTCTCCGTCCCATCTGGCATGCCTCCCCATGTGCTAATCGATGCTTAAGGTTGGGGTAGAGCATCTCCAAGATTCAATGAACCGTACGATCGTCTCATGATTGCACGGGCGGCCCAGCCCACCTGCTAGCACACAGATAAAGGTGCATCATCTCCGTCTCCTGCGGCTCACTGCTGGGTCCAGGTCCAGCGATATGATAACCAGAGCAATGACCATCTCCGTACAGCCGTCCTTCAATCCGAACTGCTAGCCAACACCCCCCTGCCCGGCGTGCTGGTCTAAGATCTCTGCACTTAGAGGCTGGCTCCCGGCGATTTCGCCGTGCTTCCCGATCCACAGCCCTTGCGGCTGGTATTTATACCTAAGGAACCACCATCGAAAACTTGTGCGGACTGAAATGAAATCTCGGCGTGTGTGTCCGGCCCAACTCCGAAGACCCATTAAAGATGCCGATATTGCACCTCACACAGGAAATCGTCGCGTGCCGCTCATTAGTCATGTGCCCGGACGGTTCTTCACCGCGAGGTTCTAATCAAGTTTTTGCCGCGATGATGGAATTTGCCTCTGCTGGGCAAGTCTCCGCTCGCAATGATGCCGGCGGGTTAGACCTACCCTTTTGAATGCAGGTAGGTATCCATTCACATTATTGTGTCATCTGGGATCAATATTTTTTGTCGGCTTATCGATAAAATTCTAGTCCTTCAACCCACAGACCCGCACAATAACAATAGTATTGGATAAAAGGGCTGGGGATGACGGGCATCATCTAGGCCCAAGACATGGGCCATTGGTTCGTCTGCACCGCATTCCGCCCATTGTAAACTGTAGTAGTTATCGCCGCGCCTATCATTTTCCCCATCTAAACCTCCGTTGAAGCCTTATCCACTAGGGTTCATTCGCGAAAACTTGAGCTATCACGCGGTTCCCTCTAACCAGCGCCCGATTACTTGGAGGGATACATTTCCCAGAAACCAATTTCCATCTACCTTCATTAGTCTGACTGAAGACACTGAGTTTGCTCAATTGATTAGAAAAGATCTTACCTTGGTTGCGTGGATGAAAATCTTGACAAGTTCTTCTATCCTTGATGGAGACTGAAGTAATACATGCTTCTCTATCAACTCTGTGTGGAAAGCCCGATTGTTAGCATATATGCTTCACCAAAAATAAAAATAACGTAGATTCTGCAAAGGTTTTGGAAGAATAAATACTTACCAGAACCGAGTCTCACGGCCTCGGTATACTCTGCACCGACGTAGAATTCGATCCAATCCCAGTACGTATTGCTCTCACGCACTGTCTTGTGATGATCGCGCAACATCT